GTTGTTGTTGTCGTTGTCGTTATTATCGTTGTCGTTGTTGTTATCATCGTTGTCGTTGTTGTTATTATCGTTGTCGTTGTTGTTATTATCGTTGTCGTTGTTATTATCGTTGTCGTCGTTGTTGTTATTATCGTTGTCGTTGTTGTTATCATCGTTGTCGTTGTCGTTTTTGTCGTTATTATCGTTGTTGTTGTAGTTGTCGTTGTCGTTGTCGTTATTATCGTTGTCGTTGTCGTTGTTGTGATAGCTTTATCTTACTATCTCACGTGACATTTTTCTTTGTTACTAACAGGTTGCATGCTGTGTTTGGGAAAGTCCAACTATTTTCGTTTTAATCACCCCAAAGAAGCTAAACGAATACGAGAAGCCAATCCTGGGAACAGATTTTCTATTGTACCGGACAGCTACTTCCCAGGTGAGTTGCAAATATATATATAACAAAACTAAATGTTGGTTTAAAATAACACATACCTTGTACAGAATGAATTTTCCTCGCTGGAAACCAAAGAATCGAATAAACAGACAGTAAACAAACCAACAACTCAATAAACCAGAACCCAAACATACAGAGCAACGAGCAAACAAACGAATGGATGAAAGAATTTTATAAAATAATTGGGATACTACGCGCGCTATGATTGGTCGAAAACCATGTTTAATGAGAGTATCAAAACACGCTGTCGTCATTTTAGCGCGCGCGAGTATTGCAACTGTCAGATTTTAATCTATCGCGCGCGCTCATTGGTCAGTTTGAATAATACGGCAGGTAGGGAGAATTTACTTAAATTTTGCCTTTTTTCGATCTTTTCGCGAGTTTGTTATTTTATAAAACAAATCAAAAACAGTTTTCTGTGTTTGATACTCTGATCAAAACACTTGGGATGTTGGGAGAACATGCACTCGAGAAGCTGGAAACCACTCCGCTACGCGTCGTGGTTTCCTTCGCTCCTTTCGTGTTCTCTCAACAACCCGCGTGTTTTGATCAGAGTATCAAACACGGAAAACTGTTTTTGATCTGTTAAATCAAAAAAAACAAAACAAGAAACAAAAAAAAAACCAGAAAAGTCAGAATTCCAAGATATTTTGAAGGTACAATGTCGAGCCCGCGGTCAAGTATCCCTTGTTGTCTTAAGTCGTGCAAACGAGGCTAATAGGTCAATACCGCTGATATTTATAATTTTTGTTGTTGCCATGGCGGTTTCTTAGAATTCCTCTCGGAGCCTATGACGTCACTATTAATTCTGAATCTGTCAGTTTGTTTTGATAATCTCAATAGTAAACATTCATTAACATCCTTCTATTATTTATGTAATATATACAGTATGAGTGGCCGTGTTGTATCAGATATACAACCACGAGGCGTAGCCGAGTGATTGTATATCTGATACAACACGGACACGAATACTGTATATGACTTATCAAACGTCTAGGTTAGTTCCAAAATTAAAGTGAATTTGGCCAAGAAAATCCAACTTAAAGTTTATGCAAATAAACACAGTTTTGTATCAGATTTGCAATACTCTTCACGGTCGTGATTTCTGTTGTGTTTTCGTCATTAATTATTCATGAGTTTGATAATACTCTTTAGTATCAACATAATTTAAGACAGATTGCACTCTTCAAAAAAGATTATTAATTTTTGAGTCATTAACAATTCGTTTTGCTGAAACCAGTGTCCAAAGGCGTAGATACTGCAGAAATATTTCCAAATGTTTTCTTGGGCAGTTTCTGCCAAACTTGTATGATATAGAGCTCTCTTTGAGCGCGATTTTTAGTTTCTGAGTTTTGAATTTAATTAGGAAGTAATCTTTGTATGCTAAACTTGTTTTTTTTTTAAGATGTGGAGTTGGCAATAGAGCAGTACAAGAGAGACAGACAAGAACGCGATCGATTGAGACAAGAAAACGCACGTCTTCTATCACTTGAGAAAGAATACAAGGACGCTGTGGAACGTATTGAACACGAGAAGGCACAGTTAGAAGATGAACGCTGCCAACTGCTCGAACTGGAGAGGCTACAAAGGGATGCGGCGGCTCATTTCGAGGATGAAATCGCCTCGCAAATTAAAGAACTCGAAAGACAAAAAGAAGAACTTCGTACTTTTGAAGAAGAAAGAGCGAGGATTGATCTATCAGAGGAAGGCTATCAAGAGCAGCTCAAAAGACAAGAACACGAAAGACTTGCAAAGGAAGAGAAAAGAAAACGCGCTTATGAACAGTTAGAACGCAAACGAGCACAACTGGAGCGTATAGAAGAAGAGGACAGCGAAAGACTTGCTGCTGAGCTGGAAATCGAAGAAGAGCGGCAAAAGCTCGCTATCCTAGAGTTGGATTGCTTAGTTGAGGAAGTGAGCGAAAATGAAAAACGCCATGAGAATATGATTCTGCTGGATGAGGAAAGAGAAAAACTAGAAGAAATGAAAGAAAGACAGAGTGAAGTAGTGAGACAGTTGGAAGAAGAGTTGAATGCTCAGATCACGATGTTGAAAGAGGAAAGAAGAAGGGAAAACGATAAAATAGAAAGTGAAAAGCAACGAATTCGAATGCTAGAGCAGCAGCAGCAAAAAGCATTGGAATTAATCAACCTGGAGAGATTAAGACTAGAAGAGGAGAAACAGGAAGAAAAAAGAAGGATCGAAACTGAAAGGGAACGGTTGCAGCAAATCGAGAAAGAACGACTCGAGGCACTGGAAAAAATTGCTACCGAACAAGCGAAGGAGAAGAGTATGATTGAAGTAGAAAAACAACGGCTGGTTGAGCTGGAGAAAAAACATGCTAATTCCATGAAGGTATATATCTATTTTTTGTCCCTTTTATTCCCATTTTCCCCCTCTTCTTTCTTTCTTTCTTTCTTTCTTTTTTTTTTTTTTTTTTTTTTTTTTTTTTTTTTTTCTTTGAACTCGCCTTTCTCTCTCACACTACTAGCTATTGCTTTAGGTAAAAACTTTAAACGCCAAAGATAAACATCTTGATTTTACATCACAACCAAGGCTATATCATGATTGCGATAACCAATCTTGTAATACTTTAAAACCAGTTTAATTGATATTGAATTCACCTGGACAGATATGCGTTTAGATTACGAACAAAATAAACTGCCTTTTAGGAACGTATGTCAGACTTGGGTAAATTGATTCTAAAAGATTGATACAGCCACGTTAACGCTTTATGTTCAAATCCATGTTCAAAGTCTTCTTATATTTCATTATAATTGGGCGCGAAACTTCCTCATTTCCTTCTTCTCCTTTCTTTTCTTCCTTTTTTTCCTTTTCGGCTTTTTTCCCCGTTTTGAAATATTACTTCATCTACTCTTTTAACCTCCACATTGTTTTCTTGGTCGCTTTTGGTGTAACACAATATCCGAAGTACTCACCCACTCTTTATCTCCACCATTATCTCATACTTTATATTTTTGACGTAATCCATGAAAGATATGCCTTTTAGAAGTAAGTAAGCTGTATGGATATCTTAACGTGACTAGCAGCTGTCATGCATTTCATTGTGATCTTGTTTTGTTTAATACTTAAGGAACTCGAAGACTCGATGATTTCACAGCAAGAAAAGATCGAGCGCGAACGTCAGATAGAATTTGAATTTTTCGAGACTGAACAACTTCTTCTAGAAGAACTAGAACAGAAACAGAGAGAAGCTGCCGAACAACTCGAACGAGAAAGACAAATCATGCAGGATACCCTCGAGAAAGAAAGAGAAGAAGAACGAAAAAAGATTGAACTAGAACGCAACAGACTCCACGAAATACAACAACAACAGCAAGAAGCTCTGCAACAAGCAGAAGAAGAACGAGCAAGGTTGAACTCTCAGTTGAAAGGTCAGAGAGAGTTGATGCAGAAAGAAAAAAAGAGACTGTTAAAGCTACAGCATGATTGTAAACAAATACGTAACAAAGGAGTCAATAGTGGGGGATCCGAACTTATGTTAGCTCTAACAAACCGAAATATGGCTCAACTACCCAAGGATTGCACTCCGGAGGAGAAAAAGAAGCTGTTGTTGGAAGAAAAAAGAAGGCTCCTTGAATTGAAAAAAGAAGCTGAAGCACTAATGCTGAAGTCAAGGAAAGAAAATGGAGAGAGATCCAGTATGTCTTCATCTTCTTCGGGAGAGGACTTCGAGAGCGCTTCTGTCAAGAGTACTGACAGCTCGCTCAGAAGTATCGATAGCCAACCAATCGTTGAGGAGTTAGAGAAAGAACGACAAAAAAGAAGACAGTTAGAAACATTGCTAGAAGAAGAACGAGTCAAGAAAGCCAATGGGGATGTCCCTGTAAATGATAAGGTGAAGGAGTTGGAAAAAGCACTGGATATAGAGCGAATCAGACGACAAGAAATGGAAAAGGCGTTACGGGAAAAACAGAAACAAGATGAATTGGATCGGTTAGCTGCAGAAGAAAGATCTCGCAAAGAGATGATGACAGAGAGAGCAATCCAGGAACGACTTCCTGTACAGGTATATCTAGTCTGTGGGGGGAGGGGGGAGGGGAGGGGTTGTTGTGCGTGGTGTAACATCTGAGGGGAATAGGGTTACAGGACCATCCTACCATCATGGGTATATCTTGATTGGAATCTAGGGTTGGTTTATATGGTTGGGGAGGTTGGAGGTGTCTCCGAGCGTGGTATAACACCTGAGGGCAATATGATTACAGCACCGCCCTACTATCATGGGTATACCTTGATTCTAGTGCTTGCTTGCTCGTGTTAGTCTCTCATCGATTTACTCGCCCTAAATAGACCTGCATGCAATCCTCTGCGTCTTCATGCACAAATACTTATCCACGTTCTGTTTTCAACACAGGTCAAATCTCAAGTAAAAGATACTCTGAACCTGGCCCAACACATCGTATCTATCGGACACATCCTAGAAAACTGCCCTTCAGTTAAAGTGTCAACCACAACTTGCAAAGGCTACCTCTCCAAAATGGGTGGAAAGGTCCGCAAAACCTGGAAAAAGCGATGGTTTATATTTGATCGGCAAAGAAAAGCCCTGATGTACTTCCACGATGAACACAAAAAAGAACCCAAAGGAATCATTTATTTCCAAGCGATTGAGGACGTTTATGCGGCTAGTTGGTGCTCCAATAAGGGGCCTTCACCACGAACTACCTTCTGTATCAAGACACCCCAACGTTCTTACTATGTCGCTGCTCCCAGCGGTTTAGCGATGAGTATCTGGATTGACGTCATTCTGACGGGCAGAGAGGGAGGGTTTTATGATTACCAGTGAAATATTTATTTATAGCTGAATAATATAATAATAATATAATATTATCTTAATTGTTACTAAGATCTTTCACTTTCAATGAACTTTCGCACAGTATTTTAATTTTCTCGGATTTTCTTTAAAACTAATAGGACTTTGGCATGATGGCGTCATTTGACTCCCACTACCAAGATGCTTCGCGAATTTTCTTTCTTGTTTGAATTTATATTCCCTCATGAGAATAGCAAGATAATTGGTGCTAATTAACTGAACAAAGTGTGCAAGGGAGTCTTGTAGTAGAGGTCAATGACGCCATCGTGCAAACGTCCCATTGAAATCAAAAGTCGAGGTATACTATTCGCTTATAGAAATTCCATTATACAGTAATTCCGTTCAGTGACCACGAATAATAGTTTCAAGTCGAGGTTGGAGTTGCCGCACATGATAAAAAGTATATTATTGGTGATCACTGAACCGAACTTTAAAATGGAGTATTTACCCTACAAAAAGTTGAGGACGTGCAGTTCCAGTACTTTTACTACTATCGTGAACACTAATATATGCCAAATATGACTATCCATTATAAGGAACACTGAGTTCAAATGAACATTGCCCACCACCGTTGATTATCAGTATCACCTGACTATTTCATTAGCGTGTACATCCTGACTAACAAGTATTCCATGACAAGCAACAAAATCTTTGAGACTATCACCCTCTTATAGATATTTCAATAGAACTTTTAAGTGTGACGTCACTTGTTTGGAAAAAAAACTGCTTCCGGGTCCAAAATGTAAAAAAAAAATAGTTGTATAAAGGTTTTTCATACTTTTTCTTCATGTTCTTCATGACAGGATTTGATGTCCAAAGTCCAGTCAATTTCAGCTAGAGGTTAAATCGGTAAGGACATGTTTCGCTTGTGAACAGTTGAAACGGAAAATACGTCAAAAGGGAACAAGTCAAAGCTAAAAGACAACCAAATTGCATTGTGGGATAAAACTATAAATATAAACATCATTCATATTTTGGAATAGGGAAGAGTCAAAAATTGACCAAATTCAGACGGGAGGTGATGTTATTTCACACTATACTCTACGACCCATAATTCATTTTTGGCAAGTCTCTYTTTCTTTCTTGCTTCCCTATCATCCGACGACTTTTTTTGGAATAGGACTGAACTTCATTCTTTACGGCGTACAAATGTTTTCTATGATCATCCATATTTTTTAAATACATACATATATATTAAAAACAARAAACAAAAAAAACGTCAAGATGGAGATCTGAGACAAAGTAACACGCTTGAATTGTAATATAGGCGCTGACAGAAATACGTGGTTTCCATTTAGATTGGAATGTGGAACATGATCTTTAAGTTAGAATTGTCCTTTTTTCGTAGTTATCCAGAAAACATAAAAGCACAGAAAATCTCAGACTTCTCACGGACGTTTTTTTTTTTTTTTGATAGGTGTATATTAACATTGGCTATGATACACATGTAAGAATTGAAACAACTCTAAAAACGAGCCACAAATTCGTGTAATGTAATTTGATCGATATTTATACTGATGGTGACATTGTACATTCAAGTTATTTGATAGAAAAAAAATTATATGCGAAAAAAAATTCTTTAATTCATTGGCAACCTGACTATGTTGACAAGATTTGCAAATTTATTTTTGGGTCTTCGTCATGGGAAAATTTCTTTTCATTCTGTACATGAGACATGTTCGGATGTCTAGAGTTAGCTGACATTCCATTATCGTTTGGCTAACATTGCAAACTTCTTCAGCTGTACTAGTTCTCTGTGCATTATACAGGCACCCCTACGTCTGTAGCGGCGTCTTATTGATCATGTTAAATAAAGAATATTTCCCAATCAAAATGGACATTCCCTTACTGAAAAATCCCGTATTACTTTAGTTTAGTTTATCGCAACATATTTTTACATTTTTTCTGACAACTGTCTTACAAAATCGTTGTGCTTGCGTTCCAAACGTCCAAACCGTATTCTCTTCCTTGTCTTGCAACAAGAAGACATTCTAGTATGTCGTCGTTTGAGTCAAACGGAATCTTGTGAACGAAAAGTTTGTTTTTCATGCTTTTACCCAAAGCCCACTGCAAATCTTTGACAGATAACCAGCACAACGATCGTACCCATTGACCGTGACACGTAAAACCTGTATTTTCCCAGTACAAAGCGCGTGAGATTAGTTCTGGTTGTTCCCCACGGATCCCCCCTGGGGCCAGTTGATGCTGTTGTAAGGTGGCGTAAATAATCTCATCAGGAATTAAGGTGTCTTTCAGGAACTCAGTAAAGTTTTTCCCAATCTGGCTGTAGAGAACGAACCTGACAAAGTCTCTAATGGCGACAATGTGTGTGGCTCCCATGTAGATAGACATATTGTGAGGCGGTGGGGACTTTTTAATCCCTGTCGTTCGAACGAAACCGTCTTTTAAAATAAAGACCGTCAAAGTTCGTTTTGCGTTAACTTTCGGAATTGGAGAACTAGCGATACTATTTGTGTTGTTAAGCATTTTTAATGCTGCTACGATTTCCTTGTTCTCGTATAGCGGAAAATCTTGCCCAATTAGACTAATGTAATATTTCCATTTCACTGGTGATTCTAAAAGTTCCTTCATGCATTGAAACTGAGCTTGAACAATCGAAAAATGTCCCCATACAACATCAACCCTCTTGGCTGCAATAAATACATTAGGCAGACAACGTATCATGGCCTGGATGGCTCGATAAAAGAGTTCTGGGGATTTCTTGTCGATGTGAATGCAGTAAACATTGTGTGGCATGTAGATAGCCCGGAGAATGCTCTCAAACAGGGAGGCACCKTTGTAGATTGTGAAGCCATAAGCGATCGGTAATGATGTTTCTTCTTTCGTCACACAAGGATGAGGAAAGCGAGTGCGTAAAACGTGGTCGCAATCTTCATCAGGCTTATAGACAGAGAGGATTTTAGAGTCATTGTTCTTTGTCATTGAAGGTCTATTAACTTCCCCAAAAATGAGGCTTTTACACCTTTCCCACTTTGATTCCTAGTGTAGCAGCAGAAGAACGGAAAGACGATTACTGGTTTGTTGTACTGTTTGTTCCCTCTGCAGAAATCGCAACACTCAGTTCCTGTTCCGTGGTACCCATTACAGTGGGGTGGGGGTGGGGGAAGGAGAGAGGTGTTGCGGAAAATGTGATTTTCTGTTTTGAGTCACCTAGAATACTTTGAAATGAGATTAATGAAGCAAAACACGTGAAATTGCATTCCAGAGAACCTCAATTTTGAAATTAATAATTAATCCTCCCGAATGAAGTGCTCGTGGCTTACCTTTTTTATAGGAGGAAGCGAAGATTTGGCAATCTAAGATAAAGAATTAATAACTGTTATCAGGGTTCGTGCTACTCCTTGAAATCCATGAAAAGTCCTTGAATTGAAAACACGCTTTTAAGGGCGCTTGAAAAGCCCTTGAAAATAGGGGAAAACGCCAAAACTCCTGGAATACTCCTTAAATTTAATGCAAACTTAATGTTATTTCTAACTTACCTTTTATAATAAATAACGATTAAAATTGATTGAAGAGTTCCTGGTTGCTTGTTTACTGGTTGGTTGCGTGTCATGCTCGTTTTTTATCTAAGCTAGTGGCCCCGGCTGAATTAGCTACACTTCAACATTGAATCAATGTTTAAAACTACGTTCTAATGCAAAAAACTTTGTCCTTGAAAATCGCATTTTTGTGCTTGAAAAGTGCTTAAACAGTCCTTGAATATTGTAACGAGAATGTAGCACTAACCCTGTGTTATCATACTGATTGGTTGAGGGTACATGCCTTATGTCTTATGACAGCACACAGAAAGAGTGTGCTCTCTATTTCGGCATTCGTATCCAAAGTAACGGTTATTGTTTATACACTTGCTCGCTATATTTCCCCTAGCTGGGATGTGGTGAAATTTAATACTCACCCTTTTGTCCACTTTCATTATTCCCGAATGCTGGACAATTATAAGCATTGCCAGCACCAAAATACATATTAAAGTAAAACCAGTATTTAGTGACAAAGCCATGAACCTGACAAACATAATGAAGGAAATCATTTGCAATTATTGACGAATGGACGGATGGACGGATGGAAAGAGAGACAAAGGCCAGAGCTAGTGAGACTCTGGTGGAAAAAGGGGGGCGGTAGGCAGGGCAAAGAAAAATTCGGTTGTTCCTAAAAACTCCTTTCTAGTTTCGGGGGTTAAGGTTTTAGGAGAAAATATTACAAGATACTATAAAGATACAGAGTTACAAAGATATTGAATTTCAATAAACAGAGTTACAAGAAAATAAAAGAAATACAAGAAAATACAAGATACTACAAAGATACAGAGTTACAAAGATATCGAATTCTAATAAACAGAGTTACAAGAAAATAAAAGAAATACAAGAAAATAGAATTGCAGCGATATTGAATTACATGTAAACAGAGTATATATCACATTTGGCTCTCGATTAAATTGAATTGATTCATTAGAGCTTGACGATGTGATGGCAACTCGTTGACAAAATAGAGGCTTGTAGTCAATCTCCGTTCTATAAGCTTTAAAGAACAGGCGATGGTACGCGTTTTCTTTATGGACCGACCAAATTGTACAATATAGTGCTAGTTGAACAATAGAAAACAATAGAAATATATATATTTAGGCACTGCCTAAAAGCGGAGCTCTCGAATTTGAATGAAACTGCAAGGTAAAAATAAGACCGGGGAAAAAATCTTTAATTATTTCTTATTCGAGATGAAGATAATTTCTCCCATAATAAAAACCATGCAGTGAAATCGAATCGAAATGCCCTACATTGTTTTTCGTTTTTTGTTTTTCGTTTTTTGTTTTTTGTTTTTTTTTGCGCGAGTATACTCTCCCAATTTTGTACACACCTCACCACCACCCCCAGGGCCTAATTTTGTTGTTAGAAGATCCCTCGACAAAAATAATGCAAAAGGCAATGCAAAATACAAAATGACTMATTTCTTTGGCAGTAAATTGGCGTTTGTAAATGTTTTTGAATATTTTTTAGCTTTTTAAAGTGAAAGTCTATGTCTTTATACAATACCATCTCCCAACAACACAAATTTAAGCTCATTTTTATAATCATACTTGCTCGAACAACTTAATAAACAGTTGAATATTTGGTAAAAACTTATATTTCATTCAAAAATAAATAAATTATCGGTAGAAAGATATAAAATTATTGAATGAAAGTCTTCATTGTTTTGCCGATGGGACCCCGCGATAGGAGGTGAGCTAAGCTGCATTTTTTTTTTGAACGAAAAACATACAATAGCTGGTTAAAAACAACCGAATTGTTAAATATTTACAAAGCTAAAGGACGAATATTTGTTGTCGTAATATGCTCTCCGTGTTATATTTCCTCCAACATTAAAATAAATTAAGCTTATCTATAGAAATATAAAAAGTTTTGAGAGAAAGTTTTTGATTTGTCGATTCGTCCAGAAAAATGCTTGTCAAGAAAAAATAGATATATATACGAATTCTGAATTCTTGAAGAACACTTTTTGATCCACCTTTGACTACATGAAAGTATTTTTTTAATTGTTTTTGGTCTATAACTTGTCCTTGAGCGATTTTTTCTGTGTATTTGAGAGCCGCATTTGTGAGTTGTTTTGCTTTGACATCAAGCGAAATTCCTGTGTTGTGTACACGGACGGACGTACGGACGTACGGACGGAAGTGACGTCAGCCAAGCCATGAAAAATCAACTCGATGGTTTACCATTTTTTCTTAAGTATGGGAGCTCCGCTATTATATAGCATATTAGAGTAATACTAATATTTCACAGTTAYATTGTTTGGATTCTAATTTATTTCGTTCACAGCCAGTTATTCTCTCGTTTGTAGAGTAAAACACGACTTTTAGCGGTCAAACACTATTTTGGCTTCTCATGTTTYCAGTACCACGAGAGATTTTTTGAGTTTTGAAGGTGAACAATCTGGATTCCTTATGTCTGATTTTATTTAATTTTAATTCCGTTGGCTTAATACGTTTAACTTTAGATGGAATAAGAAACACGTAAAAGACTCTTATATGGTCTAATTAATATCTTTACCTATATATCTTTCATGAGATATATTTTGTTACTCTGTAACTCTGTATCTTTGTATCTTTGTATCTTCGTAACTCTGTATCTTGTAACGCTGATTAG